CTCAAAGTCATGATGCATAAGTTCTTATCTAAATAAAAGTACTGAATTACAGAGAATGATAGAGGATTAAATAAGCAACACTCATTTTTTTAATTATCAACAACTAGAACCATGATATAAAAAGTAGAAGTTCAGACCATCTGTAACTCAAAGTTGTGACGTAGTTAGACATAAGGTAAATATTCACTTACCTGAATAATATACTACACACCACATCATTTAAAACAATCATTCTATGATAGTTCTTCAAGCATAGAAAAGCCTTTGAATAAGACATTGATGGCATTCATAGAAAATTAAAATATCTACCTTGAACATAGATTTTTGCCTGGTGTTTGTCCTTTCCTCTAATGTTCTCAGCCTCACATTCATAGATGCCTTCATCTTCTAACTGGATATTGAAGATCTTGAGGACAGCCCCTGAGGTGCTTATCTCAGCAGTGCTAGGCATAGGTTCTAGCACCTTCCGCCACCGGATATCTGGGACAGGGCTTGAAAGACAAGATAGAAAAACTCAAGATCCACAGTGCTTGAAGAAGGCTGCCTGGCATTTACTGCTAAGCATTTGCATCATTTATTTCATGAAAAGATATAACACCTACTTTGCTTCTATGCATGCCAATGAAAAGCACAAGTATACTTACTTTCCAAGAGCGAAGCACTCTAAAGTCACATTTTGGCCCATCATGGTATATATGTCCTTGAACTGGACTACAATATCAGCAGGGTATGGCTTTGTTGTTCCTAATTTAAAAAGAAGAGAAAACATAGACACCCATAATATATTATTCATAAACTTTTTTCTTTTTTAACATCATGAAATTTTTTAGTTTAGAACTGGACCAATATGGAAGTTTTTCTCTACATAGGTATTGTTTGTGTCCCAATATGTAGATTTGTTTGGTTAAGTACAATGTGTGCAAGAATGAACTTCATCACACATTCTGATACCTGTAACTTATCAGATTAAACCAACCACAGAATTTCAAGGTCTCATTAAGGGACTTCAAATATGTATAAAATACTGTGATCTGTGCTACAAATACATATATAGTATTAGAGAAGGCAGAAAAAGAAGAAAGAAAGAAATGGGAATATGAAAAATGGAAAGGAAGAAAAAGGAGAAAATGGGTGGATTAAGTAAAGAGAAGATGGAAGAATCACTGTCAGAAACCAAGGAAACACAGCAAGAGAAATGACAGAAAGAGGCCATTATCATAACATTGCCACTCTTATTCTGAGAGTGCTAATGTTCATTTGTTCAGCATATCAGAACTGAAATATGTGCTGATAGAAACAGGCTCCAAAGGGCTGAATGCATTATTACCCACCAAAGCATGAGTGTGTACTTTATACTGCATAGAAATAAACAAATAAACACAGCATGATAAAACAGAAGGGAAAACAATACAGTCTGAAAG